ATCCATGTTACAGATATTTATATAGCACTTTCATGTTCTGAATATAAACTAACTTTTTTTTTTCTCTTCCCCAAAATCAGGGGCACCGTATTTGTCTGGCATTGGAAGCTGCTGTTTTGGAAGAAGAAAAGAGAAGTGGAAGTGTTCCCTTTTTTCCAATAATTGTTGGAAGGTAAAAGTTCCTTTTAAATTGTAGCAAAACTAGGTATGTAAACATTTAAATCTCTGGATTAATAGACTCTCCTTCATTGGCATAAAATACAATTAGACTCCATGCAGATGAGTTAAAGAAATCTAGATCAAAAGATAGCAAACACATATGAAACCTGAAATTCTTAACTGAATGGTGTTATAAAGTGCTTCATAAACACAGCCCAATTTTACAGATCGGATAGTAGAGCAACAAAGGTTAAGTAACTTGTCTGAAGCCACACAGTCAATTGCAATTAAGAGAAACCAGGTTTCCTGACTAAGTCTGCTGCACTTCATGCAATTATCCCCAGTAAGAAGATTCACAAAGACCTTTATTCTTGTGCTCTTTTTAATTTCCAGGAAGCCAGGCAACACTGAATCTCCAAAGGCTTTGGCACCTCCCTCTATTTCAGCGGATGTAAACTGCACAGTGAGAGATGCTACCTCAGCGGATAGAAATATAGCTGTGAACTCTACTCCTTGTCATGTTCCCAACATAAATCCTTCTGTAAGTAAACAAGTACATAGACTTGATATCGCTGTCTAGTTAGAATTTAAATACTCAAACGTTACATTCAAATACAAAGGTACATTTTTATGGATTTAACCTTTGTACCTACCAGATTTGATTACAAATACAGTTAGATTAAAATGTTTTATAACACAAATTGACAAGCAAAGAAATTGCAACTTTAAGCTCTTGATCTTCAGCTCATTTGTTCTGTCTAGGTTTTATAGGAATCTGAAAGAGACATGTCATGCAGTACCTAACAGCAGAAGGGCACAGTTTGATAACCTTACTTTAGAATTTATTTTTCTAAACATAGAAGTATTTTAATTATTGCAAAGAACTATGGAAGAGCTGTCTGAGGCACCTTCTGGTCTGGATGTGCTGGAAATGCCTCATAGGATATTAACAAGCATTCAAACTATGGTTCTGGGACATCAATGTTTTTAAAAGCAATGCATTTTATGTGAAGCTTTGTTTGGTGTTAGTGTTCTCTATAAAAAAACCATGTCTAGCATGTCAAAAGGCCCAAGGAGTTTCAATAACTGAATTGAGAAGAAGCAGGTGCATCTTGTATGTTGCCTCCTTTAAATGTCTGCTAGACAAAAATATGTTACACACTGAGAGACTAAAGAATAAGAACAATCCGCTGTATTCTTCTCTTCTGTTTGTTTCTCTTAGTTATTGGTCAAATGATCATCTTAGTGAGAACTATTCTTGTAACTAACATGGTCTGAAGCCTGTTTATGAAGTAGAGAATCACCGCAGTTGTGACAGTAGGAGACTCTGGTTAAGGGGAAATAGGCTTAAAGTAGAAGAGGGTATCTGCTCTCTCAAGATACTTAAGTGGTCGAAAAGAGGTTTTGTTACCAGTCCTTTAGTTCAGAGGATGAAAAATATTGTGAAAAGTATCAATTGCTGGTTTGTGATCCATGCATGCTGTAGAGTAATTAAAGTGGTCAGCTGATGTACATAGGAGACTACATATTTTAACCAGGAATAAAGGAGCATAAACCTCTATTTACTGCTAAAACTGTAAGTGATCATGGTCTCATCATTAGTAAGAACAATGGTGTTGTGCAATTCTTGGTGTTCTATTTTTAGATATCATATGAAGGCTCTCCATTCACAACTACCATTCCTGAAACAACTTGCTCGTCCAATCAGCAAAAGGAATGTAGTCCGAATTCAGCCCAGCTTTTAAAATCTGTTTTTGTGAAAAACGTTGGTTGGGCTTCTCAGGTGAGTAGTGAATTGCTAATAAAGTAGACAAGTCCACTTTTTCTTGGACTTGAATTAAGTGGTTTTTTTTTTTTAACTAGAAGAAATGATTAATTTTGAAAATGTATTTAGGCTTCACTTGCAAGCAGGGAGTACACAGTAAGTTTCATTAAACTACAGTTTTGGTCATTTTTTTGAAGGCAGATAGGTTGGAAAGTACAGGATAGAGCAACAAGATGTTGGAGGGGAGGCTCAATATGAATGAAGACATTGGGAACTAGCCTTGAGAGAAGACCTGAGTGGAGTAGTTCAGCTAGCCAATACTACTTATTGAAGTTCAGATTAACTATCTATTTGAGACAATGGGTAAGACCAGAACTAGTGGAGATATATATATATATATATATATATATAAATCTACATGAAGAAAGAATTAACATAATAGAAAGAGGCTCTCTTCTATTGTGGTATATACAGAATGACCTCTCCAACAGAGGTGGTAGTGAATTAATGCTAACCTTTTTAAACAAAGGGATGACACTATGCGTTAAACTAAAGAGCTATTGGTCACTTTTGTACTTGTCATTAGTTGGGTACTATTTTGGAGGAGGAATTAGGAACGAATTTTCTATTCATTGTTGGATATGTTTCTTCATGGTCTTTGTGCCAGATAAGGGGGGAAAAATTGAAGTTTACAAAACAGCAAAATTGTTTTTACATAATCCAGACCTGAATTTATGACCTGCTTCTGGTCCTAAATGAGTCTGTAAATTTGTGTAGTAATTTATCTAATTATACTACATATTGTAGAACCAATAGCCATACAAACTAACCTTGTATTAGTTTTTCTACAAATGTTATTGCACAATTCTTAGCCAAATCATACTAGTAAAATTTCCAAAAGTGCCAAAGTCCAATTTTGAAATCTGCCTAAAAATCCCTTTGAAAGACAATGAGGCTTGGGCTCCTAGGTGACTGGCACTTTTGAAAACTTTACCATAAACTTCTTAAAATAGATAGTTATGGTATGCAACTTTAATTATTTGAAGTTTTCAAGCTGTAATAACTTTGGACACATCTCTTGTCAGTTGACTAGTGGAGCAGTGTGGGTTCAGTTCAATGATGGATCCCAGTTGGTAGCACAAGCAGGTGTTTCTTCTATCACTTACACATCTCCAAATGGCCAGACGACTAGGTGAGTCTTAATTCTATAAGCACATACATTACATACAAAGTAAATGGAAATACAAGATAAATTTTGCAGTGGGTTTCTAATGTTGACCTTTCAGTTACTATTTTTTAACTCCTACAAATGTTTGTTTTGATTAGCATGTTAAGGAAATTAAAACCATCTCTTTACTATAATTTTATCATGTGGAAATTACCCAAATAGTCTGTATGTGTAGTACTATGTTAATAGTGTGTGGATAAAAACTTTACTAGCGTTTGTAGCATCAAAAAAAAAAAAATCCAAAACAAAACCCCAACTGTGTATAACTTCTGTGTTTTGGTGATCAAATAAGTGTAGGAATAGCACATAGTAAAATTTATCATGGGTCAGTCCTGGCTAAGATGGGAATGGGTTCTGTCCATATCTCTTCAGTATGAGATTTTTATTTATATTGCTTGCTCAGTGACTAGAGGAAGCTTTAATGAAAAGAACTATGTCCATTTTTCTGAAAACATGTCCACAATTTACAAGTTCAGGGAATGCCTTAGTAAATAACTAAGCTACATCAAGTATATATACCTGATGATCTCAGCCCAAACCGTAGATGATGTTTTAACACAGTAGCTGTTCTATTTTGAGTCTCAGGCAACTATGGCAAATAAGTTTTATTGCTGTTCAATGAATAAAATTAGGAATTTCACACAATGGAGTATACAGTAAGATATCCGTCTGGATACTATATTTGCAGTTAGCTGCTTAACTTTTCTCATGTAGTTTATCAAGTTATTATATAATCTCTGCAATTCTGCAAATAAAAAAAAAATTAGATAAAAAATTCACTGTTGGTGCTCAAGGCACCAAAATACATTTTTAGAAAAATCAGTGCGTGACTTGACTTCAGAGAGGCTGGGCACCCACAACTCCTGAAATCAAGTTAAGGTTCCACAGATTCCTAACTTGAGGCACCTAAGTTTGAAAATATCTTTACTCTTTTTAGTATTTTAAACTGCTGAATCATATGGATGTTCTGGTCATAGAAATGGCTTCTACTACTTACTTGTGTAACTTCCTCCACCTACTAGGTATGGAGAAAATGAGAAATTACCAGAATACATCAAAGAGAAGCTGCATTGTCTGTCTTCAATTCTTGTGATGTTTACCAATCCATCTGGCCCCCACTGACTAACACAAAGCAACTCTTTGGGCTTGAAGGTTTAATAAATAACTTGCTGGCATTCAAGTAAAGTGACTGGTTTACTCAGTTTACCAGAAACTTTTTCAGTTCAGAATTCTACTCCGTGATGTCTGCTAAACAGCAGGAAGGAAAGTGTTGCTATTGCAGCTAGCCAGGCATGTAATACTTTCCTCCGATAGAGGACACACAGTTGTTCTACGAAACAGATTCTGGGCAATCTCTGAGACTAAGTGATTTTTCAGGTAAAGAATTCCTGAACAATCAATTAGAATTGTACATAGTGTTTGTTTTCTCTCTGTGTGTGTAAGTGGTTTTTTTTTCTCCTCCCCACTGCTCAGTCAATGCTGGCCATCAAAGAAAAAGCATTTGTGCTGTTGAAATATTTGTACCTGTAAATAAGTTGTATTTTATGTGGCTTACAAGTAATATATGTAAAAATATATATTGTTTTATACTTGTTTTATATTTTTATAGCAACAGTTTCTAATGAAATTTCCCTGCAAAAGCATTTTATAAAACAAAAAATAATAAATGCAGTGGTAATTGTCCAGATGACTTGGTTCATTTAACAAAACCATTGCCTAGGGCATTCTCAGATGATGGGGGTGTGTGTGTGTGTGAGAGAGAGAAAAGGTACAACTTCAGCGGTACCATTCTGATACTGAATTGTTATACCAATAAAATAAAAACCATCAGGATCTTATTAAAGGGAATAATGTAAAATGCCACATTTATTGTGAATACAGAAAGAATCATTGTAAGCAGTTATAGCTATAACATTCCATTCAATTTCATATTTATTAAGACATTAATTCATACACACATAAAGGTTCTGCAAGGTTATCATAGTTACCAGCCTTAGAATTGCTCATGCCAAGCAACTGGCTAGGTGGCCTGGACATGAGGAAGCAGGGCCTTGTCAGATGCTCATCTGATGCTCCTGGAAGTTGGTTTGCAGAATCAGACCTTAAAGTTCTCAGTTTCTAGAGTCCATTTTTATAGGAATTTATTCCTATGCCAGTCTATGGGAATTGCTTCATCATGCTGTTGCTGAATCAATCAGCAGATGGCACATTCCTGACAGCTCCGTATTCTTCGGTTCTCCCATCCTTGAGGCTGTTGAGTGGATTCCAGTCTGCCCTCCGGGGGTCGTCTAGTTGTTTCCACTTGATACCTTCTTCGGCCGATGGACACTGGATTCTTAGGCTGGCACCTCCCTGATCATTCATTTATTATCCACACCAAGCATCCATCCACAGACATCCTCTCTCTCTATTTTAATCACAATTGTTAAAGTGAGATAAATACAACAAAAGGGCGGGGAGTCTGTGTGAGTAGTTGTTGTTGTTACAAAGTATTGCTTTGAGAACAGACTGTCTTAGGATGTACTAACACAATTAGCAGCTTGCAAGTTTCACACAGAGAGGGAGAGAAACAGTAAAAGGAGACCAAAAATCAAGAGACCTCTTAATTAGTAATTTAAATTATAGGGAATCAAACTCATTTGTGATTTTAATACATTTAATCTTTAATATGATCCAACATAATGTCCCTGGGCACATCACCTCTGATTGAATCCAAGGGTGTATAAGGACTGGAAAAAGTACAGCAAATTGTTGTCCAAATGCCAGGCTTATTAGGCCACCCTACTTCTAACTTGCATGCTGAGAAGCTGAAAAAAATTCAAGTTACACCTTCTTATGATCATTATGTCTACCTACTTTATTTGGGTATAGATCACCTCTGCATTTGGCCTAGTACTATGCTGAATTCTTCTCAGACTTACTATGGGGGGAAAAAAATCAGAACTTCTGTTAAGTACTATGCCAGTTACTTTTTACATTGTAAATGCTGTTGTAGTTCAAAGTATAGCTACATGTAGTTTTTTCATAATTAAGACAGAATTTCAAGAATTTTTATCATGTACTGGGAAGTGTGGTCTAAGAATCAGTTATGTAAGTAGAGTCAACCAAAGAGCTCAAGTTTCTCTGTTTAATTTATTTTAAATCTGAACATACTTCTGGAGTGTCATTTTAATTCTAGCTAGCTTCTTAGGCAAAATGACTTAGTACAGATAAGCAAAAAATACAGCAACACCCTATTTTTAATAGGGGTCAAAGATCCTTTAAAACTGAAAGTATAAATACTCAAATATTACATGTTCTGGAGCATGGAGAACCTACTTGTCAAACTTTCTGCATTGTAACTAGAAAATGCAGAATGTCTAAAAGTGAAGTCTTTCTAAAGCAGGTAATATCTCAAATTATAATAATAAAGCTGTTAGAAGAATGTCTTAAACTTAAATTAGCTATTGCCACTGTGGAAAAGTATAGATTTATTGATATGTCAGATCAGTGTCAGGATAAGGAAGGATTATTGTTGGTTGTGGAATTTGTAATTAACTGAATTAGTTACACTATTTATTCAACTGGTGGAAGGTGCTGTTGGCCTAATATATTAACCTCCTCTCCATCAAAACTGAGCTTGCTCATGGTTCATACCCTGGAACTAGCAGCCTTTTAAATCTGACCTAAGACAACAAGCAGTTGTGGAGCAGAAGAAAATGGAGAAAGCTCGTACGACTTCTTTTTTTGCTTTGAGCAGGGGGTTGGACTAGATGACCTCCTGAGGTCCCTTCCAACCCTGATATTCTATGATTCTATGACTGCATCTGCCTTGACTGTGTTGTATTGCTAGGCTTGTATATACCCCCAGTCAGTCACATGTTCACCTGAAAGTGTGTGGGTGTTTTTGTGTGTGTGGGAGGGGGGTTTAGAAGCCTCAAACTTTCATATCTAAACAGTGAAAGTGTGGTTGGCCAGTCTTGGAAGGACTTGGACCAGGAGGGTGGGGGGTCCTAAAAGAGTGGCAATCTGAAATTTGTCCCAATATTAATAAAAGCAAACATTTTTCAACTTTCATTTAAGATAGCCAGTATGCACATTCATTACTAGAAAGCTTGTGAAATACTCCAATTTTGTGGGTTATTCTGTAAGATGTGTATCTGCTGTGATGAAATTACAGTATCTTCAAGTGCTTATGTAGTTTACAAGTACAATTCCCATTTTGTGTACTCATTCCACCCAGCTGTTTTTTTGAAAATCCCACCCTTTTTGCACATCCACCCCATAGCAACTACTACTTATTTGTTGATTGACAATATGGAGAAGTTATCAGAAAGATATGTAGGTACTCTTCCATTTTTCTCACAATCTACATATGTAAACAGTCAGATAATTGGTCTTTAGATTTTACTTTCATTTAAATGGCTTTGAAGAGTTTTGCTGACCTGGGAAGCCAAGTACTGAACTGATATTCCTCAGTGAAGGATGTCTGGCTACCTTAGAGTTTTATGTATCTATGCTGCATTTCAAAACTTGAAACTATCTTTTAAATAAATAAATATGGTTGACATTGGTGAATGGCAAAACAGAAACCAGTTAGCCTTTTGATTAAAAGATATACACAGGGGCCTTTGTGCTCTAGAGAATGGGTTTTAAACATATTTATATCTATTCATAAGCTTTATTTTTAATCAGATTCATGCTTTAAAGAAATTCCTTTCACTGTAAAGTTTTAAGCTACTCACTCTTTCAATGTACAAATCTTTCAAATTTATGGTATTGTGAAACAAAACCAAGACTTATGATTTAAATTGCTAAGCATACTACCTTTCTATTAAATATTGTAAAACACTTAAGTCTACCATTTCTGCATATTAGGAAATGCATTTTCCAACATTTAACCTACCTCCCTGTAACATTGCAACTTATGTTTTTGTCCTGAAAAATTCTCATGACTAGGAGTAGCATCTGTTTTAGATCAAGTCAAAAGTGTCTTTAAATTAACTGGAGATAATGCAATGTCCCTCTTCATCTTATCATTGTATTGTTCAATTCTCTTTATTGGTAAGTTTATTGGGAATACAGGAAGCATTTGTATGCACTGGGGTCTACAACTCCCAGCCATTAAGGCTAAGTCAAGTCTCATTTGTGCTCAGATTTTTTTTTTACTCACTTTATTCTGTGGTTCAGTCCTGTTAAGCATTCTGTTTTTGATTGAAAATGGAAAGATGACATTACTTAACCTCTGTGCTGCTTCTAAAGTCTCTGCTTCTCAGATCAAAGCACCCTTTGAGATGTTCTATTACAGCTGCTCTGTTACTATTCAAGATCACAAATGGCTAACATACTTTTCTGATAGGTCAGCTAAACCAAACAATCTTGCTTTGAGTTCTCTGTAGCATAAGATCATCTCCCTTACAATGCTTAAAGCCACACCAGCTTTCACTTTAGACCGGGGCAGGCAAACTTTTTGGCCTGAGGGCTGCATCAGGTTTTGAAAATTGTATGGAGGGCCAGTTGGGGGGGGGGGAGGGGGAGAATGGCCTGCTCCCCCCTGGACCCCTATCCCATCCAACCACCCCTTCTCTCTAGCCCAACTGCCCCAGAACCCCTGACTGTCCCCCACTGCCCCATCTAAGCCCCCCTCGTTCCTGACTGCCCTGACCCCAACCACTATCCACCCCCTGATCACCCCCACCCTGCCCCTCAACTGTGTGGCACAGAGCAACTGGTCAGGCCAGGCTCTGCAGCTGTGTTGCCCAGAGCATTGCACTGGCAGTGCAGGGAGCTGAGGCTGCAGGGGAGGGGGAACAACAGGGAAGGGGACAGCCTCCCAGGCCAGGGGCCAGGCAGGAGGGTCCCACCAGCTGTATGTGGCCTGAAGGCCATAGTTTGCTCACCTCTGCTTTAGACAGCATTTATAACAACAACATGTAGAGAGGTCTGCCATTCCAGTAGAAAATTTACCAAAAGTGAAAAATGCTTATCCTATTTCCTCAATGCCCTTATTAAAATAAAGAGATCATATACTATACACTTATGGTAGCTGTATCCAGCTTTGGACATATGTATGATCTACCTGTGATAACAGTGGAACAACATCCTGATAGGGGTTATGCAATTGAAACTGGATGTTGCATTTTAGCTAGAAAAAAAAATTAACTATATGCACAAATAGGTAATACAGGATAGATAAGTAAGTCTGCTAGGTGAGACTGCATAGAACAAAACAGGAAAGGTCCATTAAGACTGACAGTCTTAGAGAGAGAGTGCTCTAAAGAAGTGGTTCTCAACCAAGGTTATGTGTACACCTGGAGGTACATCAACTCATCTAGAAACTTGCCTGGTTTTACAACAGGCTACATAAAAAGCACACGTGAAGTCAGTACAGATTAAAATTTCATACAGACAATGACTCGTTTATACTGCTCTATATACTATATAACAAAATGTAAGTACAATATTTATATTCCAATTGGTTTTATAATTATATGGTAAAAATGAGAAAGTAAGCAATTTTTCAGTAAGTGTGCTGCAACACTTCTATTTTTTTGTCTGCTTTTATAAGTAAGTAGTTTAAGTGAGATGAAATTTGGAGGTACAAGACAAATCAGACTTCTGAAAGGGGTACAGTAGTTTGGAAAGGTTGAGAGCCACTGCTCTAGAGCTCATTTTCTTGTGACTCAAGGAAGGACTCAATTCATAAATATATACACTGAAAATGCCATCTTTTGAGTAGGAGTGTGCTATACAGCTATCTCTAACTCATATTTTATATTTAAAAGTTAAGTTAAAAATCTAGTTAAGATACTTTAAAATACAACACTACAAGCTCCTTGGACACTTGCCACAGAACTAGCAAAAGCTTACACTTCAGGATATGTGCCCCATGGCCCTAAAGAACTACGTAGCATGTATAGTGTATGAGGTAATTTTATTAACCATAACATAATTTAAGTGACAATATTTTACTATAATAGTATTAATCATATTCCTCTTTGAAAGCTAGAACTTACTCTTGGCTTTAATCAGAAAGGTGGGTCATTGAGATCCTCTGTGTTTAGAGGGCCACAATCACAATTTCACAGCTCTTCCCTCAAGAGAATTCTTAACAATTGGTTCTTATTTTATTAGCTAGTTTGTGCTGGAATGCTTAAAGTATCCTATTCTGCAGTATAGAAGTATCTTTGACAGCAAGCTTCTTTCCTATTTTAAATGCTCTTGATTCTGCAGGGGGAATGGAAATGTTGACCTCCCTTCGGTCAGCATTTAAAGTAACTTTACTTCAGTAGTCTGTGTTCTAACCTTGGCTTATAGATACTCAATTACAAATTTAATGCTAAAATCAGGGTACAATTAGACGTACTCAAGAGCAGCCATGGCTCTTATTTCAGCTAACGAGGGATACTTCTCTTGTTTGAAATACAGTTTAGAACACAATTCCTATCCATTAGTGAATCTGATTTGATGTCTTTTCATAACTTTACTATTTGATTTATATAATTACACAACTGCATTCTTGAACTTTTATGCATTAAATTATGATCTGCAAATAACTCATTTTAGACTGGGATTTTCACAGGAAAATAAGAGTTAGATACCCCAAACCCATTAAAATTAAATGAGAGTTGGACACCAAACTCAAAGATGTTCCTGTGAAAATTCCAGCCTCGGTGTTTATATTTCAGCTTAAATCACTCAAAGTTGTTTGAATATTTTGAATAGTTGCCACCTGTATCTATTTCACAATAAATTATAGGTGTCTTGTTAGAACAAAATGTTTATTTTTCCTATTAGCTGTTGGTTAATCTGTTGAAACAAGCTACATGTCAGAAAACATTCACTTATTTGATTAAAAGAGGTAGGTGTTTTGATTCAAAGTGCACATGGCTCAGTCAACTTTGTAGTTACAAGAAGCTTTAGTAATCCTGATTCACAGAATCAAGGCAGCATTTTTTTTCTTTTTAAAAAGGGTGTGCTTACAATATGGCCACTATACTTCTACAACTGGGGCCTACGGTTGCCATTTCATTTAACACAAAGGTCTGACACTTTTGGAAACTACAAACTCCAACATGCACTACGATCAAACATAGCTTTCCCATTTTTGCTATCAAGGAAGAATGCAATCTCAGAATAATTGCATTAATCAAGATGTAGCAGTGAATACAGCATTAGGCTATGCATGCTTCACAGGCTTCACTGCTCAGTTACAAGTACAGCTCTATGGCCTGTAGTAAGGCACCCTTGTTTAAAAACAAGACAATTACATATTTCTAATTTTCATTTTACATATCTTAAAAAACAGTCTACCCTTGCATCGTTCCATATCTGACTGAAAATGCAGTAAGTCTCTTGTACACTGCTTCCAGGAGTAAAAGGGAGAATACAATTATTCCACAGATTAAGCTGAATGCCCAGCGAGGTCCCCAGTGAGTATATATTTGGCTCACAAATACTGGGCCCAGTATACGTGCTCCACTTCCAGAGGCAGTTAACCAGCCCATGTAGACACCCTGAAAAGGATCAAAGAACTGTGGTTAAGAAACAAACAAACAAAAAATTTAATTTTCATCGGTTACTCTAATTACAATAGAAAATATACATAAGTTATCAAGAAAAGCCACTGCTCATTTTTTTGAACTGTTGGTCTATTGCTTTTTTTTAAAGCAATAAGAGATAAGCAGTCCTAATCAGATGCCTAGAGAGATATACAGTAAAAAGACAAGTTCCTGTTGAAAGATCTATTTTATAACAAGATGCAACAGATGGATGAGAACAAAACAAGAGAAGATGGAGATAAAGGAAGCAAGTTACCTATATTAAGCAGTGATCTCAGATTACCACCTGATTAGCCATTGTAAGCTACTAGTGTTTTATAGGCGGCATGACAGAAATGAAGCTAAAGGAGAGAAATGAATAAATTGCAGCTATCTAAATCTATCCCTTTTGATAGCATGGACATATGTTCACATTCATATTTATTCTTTATATTGCTTCACTGATGTGAATGACGTTCCCCAGCACTGATGATTAACATCTAATTTAGATATAACAATGGCACACTTTAAATCATAAAAATTACAGGAAAGTCTTGGAAGCGATAGATTGATATTCTCTCCTTATAGTGTAATTTTTCTTTTTCATGAACGGATTTGTATTAAACATTAAAAACAGTTAAGATCACTGGAGACTTCTCTATTGTTGCAGAATGCCTCTATTGTTGGCAAAAGCAGCAAATTTAACCAATTCTTCCTACAGCTATGGCTGCAGAAGTGAAAAGTAGCCATAGCTGTAGGAAGTGTTAAGGTAAATATCCAAATAGTTATTACTGCAATGTACTGCCATATTGCAATTAAAAAAAAAAAAATCAGATTTTTAAAAAAATTCGATGCCTTGAATTCAAGACAACTGACTACCAAACTGGGCAGTAAGAAGGAACTGAGGGGGGTCTGTGGCAACTCTGCCCTTTCAGCCATCATGCAGCAGCGGTGGACTGCTCAGGGTACATAAGTTGCCCCAACAGGTACCACTTTGGGAAAAATCTGACTCTGGTGCACAGGGCACAGACACCTGAAGTGGAATGGACATGTGCAATCACTTGAAGAATTAAAAACATCAAACCTGCCAATCTTATTAAAAACTCAACTGTCTTATTAAAAACACAACTATCATTCTATCTCCTATCCTTCCTCCCATTCCTAGACAAAACTGTTGAATACCATTTGGCAGCTGGCAACATCCTGGTGACTTCACAATTTTCAGATGAAGATATTTAAAATTAATCTTTCAAGTGGAAGCACAAATGTAGAAAGCTAAGTGCTACTTTTGCATCTTTCCTAGTGTTTTGAAGTGGCCCAACTGCATGAAGGAAACCTAATAAGTTTGACTTCACATACCTGTACCTTTGGAAGTTAGACCCCAGGTGTTAATTAGAGGTGTGTGGAGACAGAAAAAAAACCCAATATTCTATATCTAGCTCTCTTTAATGCTATTTTCTATGTCCTTAAGAGCAAATGAACCTTTAGTTCCATTAGTAAAATGTTTAATATATTGAAGTAAAATAACATAGTTTAGGTTTCAGAGTAGCACCCGTGTTAGTCTGTATTCGCAAAAAGAAAAGGAGTACTTGCGGCACCTTAGAGACCAACAAATTTATTTGAGCATAAGCTTTCGTGAGCTACAGCATCCGATGAAGTGGGCTGTAGCTCACGAAAGCTTATGCTCAAATAAATTTGTTAGTCTCTAAGGTGCCGCAAGTACTCCTTTTCTTTTTGAACATACGTTTAGGAACACAAAAAGGAAGGTCGTATTTACAGGATGGGGCACTATATTGTGGAAACCAGTAATTCCGTAAAGAGCTTAGGGGCCATGGTGGATAACTGCTAAACATGGGCTCACAGTCTGATGCTGTGGCTAAAGTTAGCTTACAAGATTCTTGGATGCATGAGCAAGGCAAATGTAAAGAAAGAGCAGGGAGCTAGTATTACCTCTGTATACAGCATTTGCAATATCATTACTAGAATAATGGGTCCAATTCTGGTATCCACATTTCAAAAAAGGATGTTGAAAAATTGAAGAGGGCTCAGAGGAGAGCCACAAGAATTAGAGGACAGGAAACCCTGGTTACAGTAAAAGATTTAAGAAATTTATTTAGCTAAACAAAGAGAAGGTTAAGAGGTGACTTGTTCACAGTCTATAAATACCTACATGGGGAGAAGATTTCCGACCATGAAAGGCTCTTTAATCTAGCAGACAAAGGCATAACAAGATCTAATGTCTGGAAGCTGAAACTAGATAAATACAGTGCAAATTTTTAACAGTGAAGATAATTAATCAATCACAGGAACAGCTTATCTAGGGAGCTGTTGGATTGTCCATCACTTAATACTACTATAATCTTAGGATCCCTAGTCATGGACTTGGATCCCACTGTGCTAGATGCTGTACAAACAAGACAAGCATATTTTTTAAAATAGCATCATAGTACAACCACAATACAAGGGTCTGGGGCAGGAATTATTGGGTGAAGTTCTGTGTCCTGGGATATGCAAGTTAGATTATCTGATCATTCTGGTCTATGAATCTAACAATTTTCTTTAAAAAAAGTTAATTTTAGCAGATGTTTTAAATGGGTATGTTGTGTGTTGATAAAGAGCATTCAAAAGTAGAAAAAGTCATACACATTCATTGTCTTCAAATGTCTAATAAACAAGAGGATTCATCCCATAACCAACAAAGCAGTTTTGATCCTAAAGACCAATGGAACAAACTATGCCATCAAGTATACATGTTAAAGTAATAGCAAAATCTGAACAAATTCCCTAGTTTTCATGCTTACCTGAGGCTTTGGTCCTAGAATTTTTGAGTATAACGTATAGGACATGACATTACAGGCTGGATAGCCCAACCCTATCAGTATATCAGAGGTGATATACTGGGCCAGGTGGATCAATGGAGTGTACAGGCACCAGGGCTGCACAACAGAGCATCCTGTTGGCTCTACTGTGTGATTGGATGGTAGTTGTGTTGTTCGGAGCTTCCAGAAAGGTGTAAACATTTCATTGAAGATGATTCTGGGAATGGAATTATTCTTTATATCTGTGAAATTAAGCAAGGGATCCCATTTTAAAAAGATGTTAATGAAATGCTTAGACTACAGCTGAGCGTTATTTATAATTATACCTTCCCACTGGATATTTGGTAATTGTTTTCCCCAAGGTAACAAGATAAAGAATCCAACCAAGACAATCAGTAGGCCTCCATAGAGTATAGCACGTTCACCAGTCCTGTTGAATAATGAAAACTATAACTAAATAATACATATTTATGACCAAATATTTCTTTTTAAAGCAATACCTAAAATAATCTACTATACACAAATACAAATCCTGTACAACTTATTCATGTGACTAGTCCCAATGATTTAAGTGGAACTATTTGGTTGAAAGAATTTGGCATATTTACTTTAGTCTAGAGAAGAGAAGACTAAAGGTAGACACAACAGTTTTCAAATATGTAACAGGTTGTTCTAAAAAGGTGATCAAATTGCTCTTGATATCCACCAGGGGCAGGACAAAGTAGCCGGCTCAGTTTGCAGCAAGGGAGATTTAGATTAGATATCAGGAAAAACTTTTTATCTATAAAGATAGTTAAGCACTGAAACAAGTTATTTAGGGAGGCTGTGGAATCCCAGTTCTTTGAGGTGTTTAAGAACAAGTTAGACAAACACTTATCAGGGATGGTCTAAGTATACTTAATCCTAAAACTCAGGGCAGGGGGATAGACTAGGTGATCGCTTGAGGTCCCCTTGTAGCCCTACATTTCTATCATTTGCTAAAATAAGATGAGCAGAATTTGATTCAGATAATGAAGACCTGATCTAAAGTTCCCCAGACTTTTGTGAAGATAATGTAAACAGACAGGAAAATGTTTAAGATAAACAAGAGCAAAAACCTAATGAATGACTTACTTCTTAGAAACTACTTTAACCACCATAAAGACAATGACTGATTCAATGCCAACTGCACCAAGGATTATTCCATTATAAAAAACTGCTTCTTTCCTGGTCCAGGAATACATATCCATTGTCAATGGAGTAGCTATGCTAGGCAGCAAAAAAAAAAAAAAAAAAAGAGACATATTAATAAAACCTGTACAAAGGTTATCCCAGAACAGCATCATCCATATATTTATTCTCTGTAGTATCAGATATGGTCAAACAGAAGGCTTCCCTCCTGACAAACAGACAAGAACACGTATGCTGTTTATAACATCATTTTGTGATGCATCACTTATAACAAATCCTCTGGGCCTGACTTTCCATTCCATTATACCAATTCTACACTGATGTAATATGAATTATTTCAATGGATTCACGATGGTGTACAACTAATACTATGGAGAGGAAAAATCTGGTCCTTTGCATGTAAAAGATAAATATGTAAGGCTGAATAGTAACTTATTTATGGTGTTCAAGGTTTAGCTATACAGCTGTAGTTACTGTTAATGGGATATGTGCATTTGTTTCCTTTCACAAAGCAAAGAAAATTTGGCCATTATGTTGTAGTCACCAGCCCCTTTGCCACTGCGGTAAAATAGATGTTCACTTACTAAAATCCCTCCCATTCATTTCTTCTCCTTCCCTTCCCTTTACTCTACTCCACCAAATGATCTTCAATTGTCGTGATCTTCGATCTAGCAAGAAAGGCTGGACACTATTGCCTTCAAAATTATGCTTTGCAATTCTGTTTCCATATAGCACTTCCAGCCTTTGTCAGTTCAAGTGAAAAAAGCAAACTTAAGATTCATCAGAGTTCTATTGCATGCAGCCACAAAATCAAAAAAATCACTCAGACGTAATTTACCACTGTATTGAGGAAAAATTGCTACACTTTGTCAAACTGAAGTTTGAATGGAGAGGTTTTGTAAATATCAAATACATTTTTATAAGAGGTACTCAGTAGGGAATAGAAACTTCAGATATGTGATATTATAGCTCAAAATTCTGCACACAAGTTTATCCCTTCAAAATTATGTCAGTTTACCCATTTTAAGGTAGAAGAGTCATCTCAAACAGATGTATATTACATTTTCTTATTTTCGCCCATTCATTTATGAAATCTCCTATTATTATTGTTAAGTACTGACTTATCCTTTTTCAAATTTAGTCTGCAGTCACATCTCTTATTTAACATAGCTAGATACTTTAATCCTTAAGGATACCAAAGTACTTTGCAAACTGCAGCTATATATAAGAATCATTTCAACCACTACTGAAACAAGTCTGATGTGGAATGCACTAGCCATTTACAAATGCACTACAGGGCTACACAGTTTTTAGGACAGGAGATAAAGGACAATGTATCCAACTGAAAATATTATTTCCCTTTTAGAGATTTGGTAGATAGAATTAAATTACCTCTATTGAAATCTAATGCGGACATTGCGGTTTACATCTCAACTCATGTGAGGAATACAATGAAATTTTCAATAGCCACAAATGTTCAGCAATTTGGGTTTACATTTCATTCAAAAGTTTAAATATAACTGGTCCTTATATAAAAATACTACACAGTGATACTATGTGTTAAATTAATATGCCACACTAAATGGAAAATATCGTACAACTCAGTTTTAATTATGGCTTGTTTTTGATAAGGTGGGATAATGCTTATTAATATTTGCAAAACATTAAGTTATAGTAATGAGTGCAACAGAAAAGCCTATGAGCACTTTATGGCTTCCAAGAACTTTACAAACATTAATTAATGAGTAACAGAAGACAATTGGTAGACTTACGTTTCAAAGACAGCAAAAACAAACAAGATGACAAAAAAAAGAATGTTGGTTGCTACAACAGCAACCTGGTCAATGTTTCCTTGGGCATCCTGATCCACATAATCACTTTCTGTAAAGAAACATAAGAATGAACTAAATTGCAAAATTAAGAAGTTTTACAATTCAATTAATGAGCTCTAATATTACTCTGAGGCTACAGGTATTAATAATATTATGCATATTGTGCATTGTGACAGAGTGCAGTGTGCAAACAGGAGAACCTGCACTCTAATCATTCAGTTATTACTTAGTTCCTCTTGAGGAAGCTGATGGGGGAATTAGTCAATCAGGCTGGCTGGTTGGATGGTCTAAGGAGCCAATTACCCCATCAGCCCAAGGCTGATAAAGAGACAGGAAGGAAATGCCAATAGAGGAGAGGGAGAAATAGGGCTAGCTGGGCCTAGACACATAAGGGGAATGGAGGTCTCCCACCTCTTAAGCCCTGGTGAGAGGGTCAAAAGCTAGGTTAACATTGTAAATACACTGTTGCACGGGGATTGTTGTGAAAAGGATGGAGGGAACTCAAAATAAAAGGACACTGTGATGACACAACCATGGAAGGCTGTGCAGTTTCTGCAGGAAGAAGGCGGGAGAGGAGCCATGCCCCATGACATGAATCTTTCTGGGTTTGGGTATAGATATATTTTGGGAGTAAATTTTTTTTTTTTTTATTTTATTTTTTTTAAAAGAAGTGTTTACATTCCAATTCCCCTTGACTTACATTTAAAAAATTGGCTCTGGCTAAGAGCAAGCATGATTTGAATGATAGTGGAAAGAGTATTCATCATTTCCTAGAAAATATGTAAATTACTGTTGATTTCTCCTTATTTGTAAGGGACAAATATTAAGTAATCCTGGAAAATATTGAAGATCACACTAAATAGAGAATCTGTTTCCTAATCAGCTTCTCCATAGCTCTATATCCCACAGATGAATTCTCAAGCAACAAAGGGCCCCAGCAACATCCTCCACAATAAATTTTCAATGTGGAAGAAATGGTAAATTTCAAAGATTTTTGTTTGAATTTGATAAAAACTGGATTTTTCAGATTGTTTGCAATGATCTATTTTTATAACTTAATATGGAAAACTATAATATATGGCACTGAAATAGATTACCAACATAATGTTTCCTTTTAAAAAGGGGTTTATGATTAGCTGTCATTTTTCATAAGATAGTATAAACCTATCCAAATGAATGGGATGTGCACACCATTTTAAAAAATTGAACTTTGCACAACAGGGTACACAAATGCTGTATGGTAGGTAGGAGCTGCACCTTGTGCAGCAAGAATTGTATGTGAATTGGTTATTAATTTAACATATATATATAAACACCTCTAATTTAAACCGAGACTTGTGTAACATTGATTTTAATAGGACTCTGTAAATTATAGCTCATACACAGTAAAACTGCATAATATCACACAAAATTATGTATACAAATGGTGGTATAGCTGATAAGAGAATCATGTGATCAGTTGGAGCAAGTAGTTCGTTCTCCATGTCAATTTAATCCTTGGTTTCCGTTGAGATTGTCAGAACGTGACAATTTAGAAGGAACTGTACTGATCATTAGCTCATCCCACATATACTATCACCAAAACAACATCTCGATGGTAATAACTGTTTCAGTACCAACTTGGGCCAGATTTCAATCAGAGTTGTTCAATCCACCACCCTTTGTAATATTTCTAAATGAAGGGCTGACTAATAAAAAAAAAAGTTTTATATACAATATGATAGTAAATTAAAGTATCATAGAATGTGTCAGTTTTCAAAGAAAAATATTACCTTCTGCTTTAAAATTGATACTTTTGCATGGTCTTCCCATGTCATCCACTTGATGTTCTCTAAAGATTGAAAACTGTTCGCATTAGCAAAGTTTACCCAATTCATTTCTTTTGTACCAAGCCACAGTTACATTTCTAATAATAAATAATTGGTACCATCTTGTATCTTAACCAGTCTTCACACTTTTAAACACTATGTGCACACCTTAGATTTCACTGTAATCAATACAAGTCTGGATACCACCTAAGCCAATTTATAGATGATCCTCTGTGAAGTTAATATGGCACTCCGTTTTTTGTCCCATCTATTCAAGATGTATTTAAAAACAGTTTCCGAAAGTATAAAGCCACCAAACCCAAAAAAACAAACAAAAAAAAAAACCTAGCAAAATTTGGATTTAAGGCCCCAATTCAGGAAAGCATCCCTATTCATGAAAATTCTTATGTGTGTGCTTAACTGCTTTCATGAATCAGGGCCTGAGACTGGCCCAACATCTTTGAGTCCGCATTGCTGTGCCTTGGTACTGTAGAACACAGGATCCTTTCTCAGAAGTGCAGAATACAGTGATTTCAGATATTGGTTCTGTTCAGCTAAAATTCTGTGTGGCTTTCTATGGTGGGAATAGCCCTACAAATTGACATATATTGGCTGTGCAACGGGATAACCTATTCAAATTAGCACATATGCACCAAAATGGCAACATACAAAATAAAGTGAGCTCTGCAGCAGGGAGGTACAGACGCATAGGAATGTAAATGATTTCCGGGCACCCCGCATATCGATAACTCCATATGCCGAGTCCAATCCTCTCCCTCTTCTGTGGCCACCCAAGCTATTGAAAAGTCTTATAGCACTAAGCCTGGAATAACTCTCCAGCACAACATGTGGGGAGGACCAACTATCCATACATACCTGGAAGAAGAAGGGAGCAGTGAATCTTCTGATTCCACTAGAGTTGCTATTCTGCTGAATGCACCCTAATCGCAAATATTCAGGTAGTACAGACCACCTGAATGGAAAACTACAATAGGCCTCTCTCTCCACCACCTGTATCTGCACAATGATGGGGTAAGTAATCTTTGGGGCACATGGCATCTCTTCATGTCCCTTGCTTGGTTTTTTTCCAGAAATGATAGACACAAAGATATGCTTTAGGTCACATGGCCCTTTTATAGTTATTCCCCGAGTAAAAGCTAGGCAAAGATTCCAAAAAGCAGTTATAGCATGGGACTAAGGATTTTCCTGAATTGGGGCCCTAGTGAAGAACTCCACCTACTACAGAAGCTTCATGAGCCAAATTGCTATACAGGGCAATGAGACCAGATGGACTTCAACTCCATCTCTATCTCTGGAAAGGGGGTAAGTTTTGCTGGAAACATGACAAATACTCATGTCTCAATTATTCGTTCATTGTCAGAGGGTGAAGAGCACCATGCAATACATAAAAATAAAGACAGTCCCTGCCCCAAAGAGTTTATAATCAAGGAGACAGACACAAAGACAGCAAAGTCTTTGCAGGTCAGCAGCTATGGAGGTTAATTTGAGCTGGGCATAGCCCTGTATGCGTTTCAAATTCTATATACTGTACTAGGTATATCAAGGCTGAATTACTGACACTTGCATCCATAACGGTTTGCATCTCAATCATACATCACTAAGCTTTGTTTACTAAAAAGTGAGGATGCACGAGTCACAGAAGTTAGCCACTTTGAATAATACATTAAAAATATAAAGTCTTGAAAGTGCTCAAGATGTAAAGATTATTATTCTAGTTCTTTAAGATAGTGGTCATATTATTGCTATGTTCTTTTGAAAATGCTATCCTTTACTCTTATAATTTCAGTGGATTTTGATAAGTAGCCAAAAATTATTTTCAACAGTAGTGGAAATATCCATAAAAAAAACTATCCACAATATTCAAATAAGAAAATGTTTTCGTTTCTATTTAATTACCTGAATATGGCAAAGATTAGAATAATATTGATAATGCCTAGGAGAGCTCCCAGTAGAACTGGTGCTGTGTACATGTTCACCTGGAGATCAATGATTTCCCACATCACTCCTTTTTCTCCAATCAGAGAGAAGCAAGTCTGAAAAACTTAAGATAAAAAAAAACCACCTCAGGAAATTCAAACACTAAAATTATTAATGCATTATCTTTGGGGAATCCAGTGCACAGTCATCTGATGGATACCAGTGGGATCCTAACTATCTGGAAATACATGCAGCTTGTAGAACATACAATCCTCAGAAAGCCATCTGAATATACTCAATAAACAGCAGTGTGACACTAAGAACAAGTCAGCTGCACAAGGCCAAGAAAGGAAAATTATCTAGCTGCACACCTACCATCTACTTGTGATTCTCTATAGTTAAACTGGATGTGCTAACTCCATCTACCCTCCCTTCTATAGAAATGTCCTAGCGTGGGATGGGGGTATCCCTTCTCTAGGCCCAACAGAAGGGAAACAGAAAAAAAAAAATTTAAACACTAAACAGGTGATGAGTGGGAGCAAGAGTGTGTGTATATATGTAAGAGCTCCTCCCCTGCCTAGCCTATGATCATCAGGAACTTGGCTGAGTGTCTCTCAAAATGGAGAATGGGAAGGAAGAATGCACCCTGTATGCAAGTCATTCAGGGACACTGCCTCTTTGGTTGTGCAAACTCTTTAATGCTACTTCCAGGGTTGATTGACAGCTAGCCACCCACAGAAAACTCTCACTCTCTGAGATATAAGGAGATGTACTAAACATGCTCAGCAGCCATAATTTCTTGTGGTAATTGGGCATGGTGGAGTCTTTAGCTACCTATGGAATGAGGTCAGGCTTGCACAGGGACTCAATGCCAAACTCTCATCACCATAAATAAGGTACAGCTAGTTTGCGAAGTCTTTATGGACAAGTAGCTACTGAAGCATTCTGGAGATCCCTTTTTTTTTTTTGGTGATTTTCTGAACACCATCAACTAATTAGCAATGGAAGTTACAGTCCAAACCTACTTTGTTAATCCAGTTACACCTGATAAATTGCCACCAAAATTACAGTGAACAGAACTGTACTCATAAACAATTAGATTTTTTTGGACATAATATCTACATAGCTACTTATGGCTAAACCACAGCAGTACGCAAATATATTCAGTTTAATATTATGACAAAACATGCTCATTTTTGTGCACACTGCTGCTGAGGAGATTCCCAGTCCCAAACTTAATGTCTGATTTTTTCCTAAATAACAAAAGGAGCATGATTTGTTTTGGAGAGATGAGGAAATAAGAGACGTTGTACCTGGTCCTAGTATGAATCCCGTTGCTTGACAAGCACTGGTGTTGGCCATGGCACTAGTTCTTTCTGTAAGAGAAGTGGCACCAGCAATGTATGATCGAACTACTGCTACATTTCCTAAAAAAAAAAAAAAAAGATCAAAATGATACATTTAAATCTCCAGTCACAGTTAGTTCAATTCCCCCCCCCCCATACACCAAACAAGCAGTTTACTAATGGTACTCAATGTTTCCCTATTATATGCACACAAGAAAGTATATAATTTTGTAGGTCCGCACACAGGTTAGCGAACTACTTGTGTTAATCATTTGTGAAGATATTATTTGCCTAATAAATTATTTTGCTTAACATAACCATAAAGCTTGTCCTCTCTTAGGTAAGACACAAAATAAATTAATTAAAACTTCAGTGGTTTAAATTCTGCTGCAATTACCTGCTCCAAACCCCACAAGGGCACGAGCAACCAGCATATAGTATTTGTTGTGTGAGGAAGGTAAATGGACATAGGCATAAAGGCAGTTAGCAGCCACAGAAATGGCAATTGAAACAACAAGTGGTTCTCTTCTTGGCCTGTAATTGGACCATAAACCAAACAGAGGTGAGGCTATCATTTGTCCAAGACTGTATGAAGCAATAATCCATCCCAAGAAACTTGCATCTGCTGTCAGATCAACCTGAAGAAACAAGTAAAGTGATTTTAAAAATTACAGTGTGCTATTCATCATATCAACAAAAACAATTTTGGAATCAGTACCCTACAACATGTAAGATTCTGTGCTATACACTGTATCTCTAAAGTGCGGAGCTTACAGCCGAGGGTCAGGGGGCACTAAGGCAACATTAGGCCATCTTTGCACCTTCCTGAACCTGAAATGCTCTGGAGGCTAGAGACCCCCCCTGCATAACTTTCACTGAGGGCCTGTCTCAGCAGTCTCCCCATGCTGCCGTCATGATCCTCCCATCCACAGCACGCTTTCTATGCTGGAGATTATGAGGGGGTCTTTGGAAGGCAGTCGTCCCACAGTTACTGCACCAGGGGACTTCTACGATGGCCAAAACCAGGCTTTTAAGGGTTCCTTTACACCACTCCAGCCCTTTTACATGATGTAAAGAGACTGGAGCGAGGATGTGGCTCTCCCTCATCAAAGCAAAAAGATTGTAGTATCATAGTCCTCGACACATAATGATTTTTAATCTTCAAAGTTCTGTAGAAATGTTATTTTTTTAAGTCTGGACAACTTGTCCAACATACAGATAAATAGGATTCATGTAGTATATTTACAGCTTCGCTAAAAGTCCTTTTAGGGAAAACAAATTATCTAAAATATCTACAGTTTTCTACCAATTTACAATATAACTTGAAGTGAAGTAAGATTGAGAAACCTAGTGTTTAAGGATTGATCACATGAACCAATATTAATTGGTAAATTAAAGGACAGAATTTATGTGGAGAGTTAAAAATTGTCAGAGGCTAGGAGAGGGAATTTTCAGTCTAGTCATATGCTTCCACTTATTGACTTAATACAAGTGTTTTGGTTTCATTGTGAGAATTTCTTACAAAGTGTAATGTTTTCTCCTGTACACTCTATAAGCAGAGCTCATGTCTCTCTCTCTGTCTGTATAGTGCCTAACACAATGGGATCTGAATGGAACCTACTTCAATAAAGTTAACAAAAAATAATACATATCCCCAAATGGCCTGATTTTATTCTAATACTGTTTAAAACTGCAAGATATTCACGTTTACATCTATGTATTGCTTTGGCAGTCTTTTCTAAATAAATACAGTACCACAAATTTAATTAAAAGTACAAAATAATCAACATGCTACATGGTAGTGCAAATTACTACTGTGGAAGTAAGGATCAATCATTAAAAATTATCAATACACTATTCCTACATTAAAGTGTGATACAGAAAACTAATTACCGTATATACTCGTTTATAAGCCAACCCCCCCCAAGATGGATAGGTAAAAATAGTAGAAACTGTATGACCCTTTCATAAGCTGACCTACATTTCAGGGGTTGGCAAACTTTGGCTCCCAGCCCGTCAGGATAAGCCGCTGGTGGGTAGGGACGTTTTGTTTACGTGGAGCGTCTGCAGGCATGGAGCCCCTAAGCTCCCTCTGGCCGCGGTTCCCCGTTCCCAGCCAATGGGAGCTGCGGGAAGTGGCATTGGCTGGGAACAGCGAACTGCGGCCACAGGGAACTGAGGGGCTCCATGACGGCAGACGCTCCACATAAACAAAACGACAATGTATTAGATATTCAGTTCAATGATTTCATAGAGTTTAAAATCATCAAATTTTGATGTAGGCCCGTTTATAAGCCAACCCCTGCTCTTTGATGCATCACTTTTTTACCAAAAATATTCGGCTTATGAACAAGTATACGGTACTGAAAATGCAATATTTAAACTATTAGGGGAGTTTAGATAAATAAGTCCCTGGTCCATCAATTAGATCTATTTCTGTATAGAGCTTGTTGAAGGATTGGGCCTTAAACTGTAAAGTCCCTATATACCACAATAAAGTTCTAACAGTGATTTTACATTCTAATAGAGCAGAAAATAAAATCATCATTAATCATCATCATTAAAATTTACAAACCTTTTGCAGATATGGCCATACTGACATAATTACAATTGAAAAACCTGTGATGTATTAAAAAAATAAAAACAAGAAAACAGAATTGGAGTTACTTTACATTGCTACATGTAATCATTAATCAAGTACTTGAAAACGGATATTATGGGGCTGATTCTTCTGCTTTTTAAAAATACTGTATTCTCAAACTGAAGCTCCACATGGCAACCAAAAGTACCATGGTTGCCATGCTGGATTAAAGAACAGTAATTGCTTTTCAGTTAGAAGAACTCTTATATAAAATAAGGGCACCACACTACGCAGATGTGTACAAAAGTTAAATGCACTGAACACCTAGAGTGTGATCATGGTCCCACTGAAGTCTATGTAAAGGTGTTTTCCTCAATCCATATCAAGAAGTAGAGTTCTCAAGAAACAGATTTTCTTGGTATCAAAAATTAATTTTACATTTAGATTTAATACTTTCTTCAATCCTTCATCACATTAACCAACACAAAAGTCAAAGATATGCAGATACCAGAAATCAATTGAACTCACACTTTAATGAGTTTGGCTCTGGGGTCAAAGAGGAAACTGTTCTGCAGTTAAAGATAATTTTGATATATTGGGGAAACAAAAAATACTGTAATGCCCCAGGAGGAAAAACATCTGCAAGTATATGTATTTTAAAATCCAATATTTGTATTCCAGCATCGCAGAGAAATCCTCATTCATTAATACTGATGCTAATTCCTTCCTTTCAATTCATTAACCTTATTTTCTCTATTCACAAGTAGTCACTGCATTTTTATGATGTATAAAAGAAAAATAGCTCTAGTAAGGGAGCAGGAATAGTTTTAATATACAAACTTCGTAGAATTCTCAAACCAAAACAACATATCCATTGTACAAATAGTGTTGAAATTCTGCTGGATGAATATCAAAATTACTTACCTACACTGCTGAGAAACATTGTAAGATACATAATACGAATGGACCTCCACCTACTCCTGTAATGCTGTTGGGTTTCAACAACATCCCCATATCTTGAACAATAATAACAAAAGAAGAAGAAATCTTATTTTGTTGTTTAGCTCTTAGTGAAAAATGTTTCAGCCTAAAGGACATCAAAAGCATTTTTCATAGGTTACCTCTAATTTTACAAATAGAATATATATTTTGTAGCTTACACTGTTCTAACTATGCAATGAAGAACATTAAAACACACATTGTAAATGAGATTGATTTGTTTCTAACATAAAGCTCATCTTTTGATGAGACAGCAGCGTGCGCTAAATGGCTTACCTTTTCTAAAAATAAGGTTTATCCTATTTTCTCATGTTCTATTAATGATTGTTACAATAAAGTCACATATAACTCAGCAATATTATATACCTAATAAATATGTCTTCCAATATTTTCCTCTCTGAGTTGCAGCATTTTGTGGTACGTCTTGCTGAAGCGAAAGGCACATCACCTATCATAGCACATATTTGCTTTTTGGCTCTCACTTCCCTATTAAACTGTGGTAGCACTGAAGAGAAAAATCAGAATGTGATATTGTCATAAATATAAAGGGAAGGGTAAACCCCTTTGAAATCCCTCCTGGCCAGGGGAAAGCTCCTCTCACCTGTAAAGGGTTAAGAAGCTAAAGGTAGCCTCGCTGGCACCTGACCAAAATGACCAATGAGGAGACAAGATACTTTCAAAAGCTGGGAGGAGGGAGAGAAACAAAGGGTCTGTGTCTGTCTATATGCTGGTTTCTGCCTGGGATAGACCAGGAATGGAGTCTTAGAACTTTTAGTAAGTAATCTAGCTAGGTATGTGTTAGATTATGATTTCTTTAAATGGCTGAGAAAAGAATTGTGCTGAATAGAATAACTATTTCTGTCTGTGTATCTTTTTTGTAACTTAAGGTTTTGCCTAGAGGGGTTCTCTATGTTTTTGAATCTAATTACCCTGTAAGATATCTACCATCCTGATTTTACAGGGGGGATTTCTTCATTTCTATTTACTTCTATTTTTATTAAAAGTCTTCTTGTAAGAAACTGAATGCTTTTTCATTGTTCTCAGATCCAAGGGTTTGGGTCTGTGGTCACCTATGCAAATTGGTGAGGCTTTTTATCCAACATTTCCCAGGAAAGGGGGGGTGCAAGTGTTGGGAGGATTGTTCATTGTTCTTAAGATCCAAGGGTCTGGGTCTGTAGTCACCTAGGCAAATTGGTGAGGCTTTTTACCAAACCTTGTCCAGGAAGTGGGGTGCAAGGTTTTGGGAAGTATTTTGGGGGGAAGGACGCGTCCAAACAGCTCTTCCCCAGTAACCAGTATTAGTTTGGTGGTGGTAGCGGCCAGTCCAAGGACAACGGGTGGAATATTTTGTACCTTGGGGAAGTTTTGACCTAAGCTGGTAAAGATAAGCTTAGGAGGTTTTTTCATGCAGGTCCCCACATCTGTACCCTAGAGTTCAGAGTGGGGGAGGAACCTTGACAGATATGCCTTTCACTCACATGCTCAACAGGGCCCTAAAATGGCAAAACGACAAATCTATTGGAAAACTGCACTTTTGCCCATGCTGCATTTTTCTTTTACAAGTAAATTCAACGTTCATACAACATGCTAAACTGGCATCAGTGAGACTGATTTTTGTTTGCTTATGCCTAGACCCTGAATCCTGCAAGCCATTCATGTAGGCAAACTCCTTTGTCTCCATGTAGGCATAAGGGTTTATGTGCAACAGATTATAGAACCAAGGCCTAAATCATGACAGCAAAACATTCCCTTTCAGTGTTAGGAATTTAAGAGAAAAATAAAATTAAACCCTAACAACTGAAAATGACTACGATCAAAAGTGAACCTGACAAGCCTATTTTCGTTATTTCCAAGCTTTGTGAAGTGCAAAATGTAAACAAACAACATAACTGGTGAAAAGTTAATTTTTTAGATATTTTATATTGGAATGTTAAAGTATTGTTATAGTTACATGAGCAAGGATTTATTTTTATACGATGTATGCTGATAGTATTGTTAGGATACAGATATTCAGGCCTGTCTGTAAAGGCCTATGTGCTAAGAATTTAGGTGTATTCTTATCACTTGGCTAGTTATAGAGGTATAAAAGAGAGAATCAAAATCACTGTCTCCCGGTGTAAGGTCCTTCTCTTACTGTGACAGTCTGAGGCCCTGTTCTTAGGCTAAGGCCTTTGGCAAGGTAGCAGAGGCAGCCATAAGCTGGGAAGCGAACGGTCACATCCTCACATTCCAAACTAGTCACACTGAAATCAGGTGCTATTGGGCTGTTAGGAATACAATCCTGTCCTGATAATGCCTAACGCCTCCAGAGAAAGGGAAGTGCCTAGAAAATGTAAAAGGAAACTTAGTTTGATAGCATCCTGTCTGGCAAGAACTCACTTATCAATAGCTGGGATGTGAAATCCTCGCTTCTGTATTGTTTTGTCATTATAGTTCCCACTTTGCTACTGTTTGTCTGTATAATCTCTCTCTGGTTCTGTGATTGTTCCTGTCTGCTGTATAATTAATTTTGCTGGGTATAAACTAATTAAGGTGGTGGGATATAATTGGTTACATAATGTTACAATATGTTAGGCTTGGTTAGTTAAATTTCAGAAAAATGATTGGTTAAGGTATAGCTAAGCAGAACTCAAGTTTTACTATATAGTCTGGTTTCAGAGTAACAGCCGTGTTAGTCTGTATTCGCAAAAAGAAAAGGAGTACTTGTGGCACCTTAGAGACTAACCAATTTATTTGAGCATGAGCTTTCGTGAGCTACAGCATCCGATGAAGTGAGCTGTAGCTCACGAAAGCTCATGCTCAAATAAATTGGTTCGTCTCTAAGGTGCCACAAGTACTCCTTTTCTTTTTACTATATAGTCTGCAGTCAATCAGGAAGTGAGTGTGGGAGGGAAATGGGAGCAGGAAATGGGGGTGGGGAAATTGGAATCATGTTTGGCTAAGGGCAGGAATGGGAACAGGGATACAGGTGTAAGGCTCTGTGGTTTCAGAGCTGGGAAGGGGGACACTAAGGAAGGAAACTGAAATCATGCTTGCTGGAAGTTCACCCCAATAAACATTGAATTGTTTGCACCTTTGGACTTCAGGTATTGTTGCTCTCTGTTCATGCGAGAAGGACCAGGGAAGTAAGTGGGTGAAGGAATAAGCCCCCTAACAAGTATCTCTTGAGGATCTGTTTATTTTTCAGAGGCAATAACAATTGCAATTTCTTCACAGGATTCTTCTGATTAATTCTATTCGGGAGGGACCATCTCTGTTATAGGTACTTTGACCTGGTCAACGCAGTTTTTGTATTAGTATAGCTTTCACTTGGCGCGGTTTTCTTTTTTTGTTGTTGTTGGGGGAGAGGGGGGAGGCGGGTGTTAGTTTTTTTACCAATAAAACCTAATGTGGATGCAATTGTGATAAAGGTTCCTTACACCAGTATAACTGTATCCCACTTTTTTCCAGCATACCTGAAGCAGTACTATTCATGTGTACCGATAAGTCCTTAGAAGATAACTATTAATCACTTCCAGAGATAAGTGCTTATTTAAGCTTCAGCCTTTTGCTGTGAGGGTGGGGAAAGACACATGCCAGATACTGATATACAAAGTGCTGTATAAAATACCTTGATGAGAGAACTACAGAGAATGAGGGAGTTATGTGTATTATTTTTTCTAAATATTTCAGTTTCCTTGTTTGATATCCTGCCTGACTGTATAGAGTTAAATCAAAGGAGGCTGGTGAGGAGAAATCAAAGAGGAAACAAAACGGTGATAGAGAGAATACCCTTAACAGGAACAATAGTGGAAGCTTTTAATTAGCAATACCCATTCCTGGCTTCATTAACACTAGCAAGATTTACTTTTCCCAGGCCTGAGTTTAGACAAAAAGCGGATACTAAAATCTGATTGAAGTGATTCTCAGCAGCTGCCCAGGCATGAGACGCTAACAAGAACACACAAAAGTAGACAAGAATGCACCAAAGTCATCTGCTTCTCCCAACCTAGAGATGGAGATAACTGGGCTGAATGGACCACTCCAAGGCTCGCAAGGAAACATTAAGGTTTAGAGAGGGGAAGTATGCACACAGGCCTCTATTGTTTTTACTCTTTGCTCTGCATGGTACCTACCTTTGGATGAATAAAACAATGTGAACAGTTAGCAACTTCCCAGCACCAGCTGAAACACTCAGCAGCCTAGGGATCGCAGTGAACAGGTGCAAAAGGGAGGGGTGTTGCAGGGTGTGCTGGGAGTTGTACTTTGCATGCCGCTGTGTTCCACTAGGGCCCTGGGACCTGCGCTGCCAGCTGCACTATTAGTCCCAGAATGCCTCGCGCCATGCCACCAGCCACCCCAGCTAAAGTGGTCAGAGCCAAAAGGAAACTCCAAACAAGGAAATCATCTGGTGCAGGCAGAGGGTTCCCAGTGCTAATCCCGCTGTATTCCTCTCCCCCTTGAAGCTCCTGGTTCCCCCCACCCCTGTGTCTCACCCACTCTCCTGGGGCAGTGGGGAACTAGGGGCAACTGCCCAGCAAACGTGATGCCCAGGGGCTCCTGGGCACTGTCTCGACCCTGCACTTCACGGTGAGAGTTGCTTGTCTGTGGTCCCTGGGAGCAGGGTGGGTGGTGACAGTGGGGATGGTCAGTGTTGGCTGCCATGCCCCCTGCCAGTGGGAATGCCCAGAAACTGCCCCCCTGCACTCCGGTGGGGGGGGGGGAGGTGCAGCCCAGTTTTGGGGCAAGTCGGGGTGTACGTGGGAGCTGGCGGCGACTCCGTGTGGGGGTGTAGGAGAAGCAGGGTATTAAGGTGGGGCGGGGGGGGAGAGAGGAGGGTGACAGCCCCGGGGTGAAAGTGTTTGGGGGGGGGTGGGCAGTAGCAGGGAGATTGAGGAGAGCCTTTTTTAGGGGGTTAGTTGTGTGGGCAGGGGACAGTAGGAGGGACGGGGTAGGGGGGAGAGCCCAGATGTGAAGATTGGGGTAGGAGCTTAAGGCTGGATTGTGATACCCTTTGTGGTAAAGTGCATGTTTTCTCTCCGTGGCCCTTTTTCCCTGCAAAAGATGGGCATCAGCAATTTTCCTCCCCACACTCCACCCCAAAGTTTTGTAAACATTATTGTACCAAAAGTAGAAAATGCAGCTTTCAAAAAATGTATTTACGAAACATAACTGTGGGTGGAGGGGGAGATGGCAGGGAGATGCAGGTGCAACACCACTGACTGCTACATTCAGGCTTAATATGGCTCATAAGTGTGCTAATTAAGCACTTGCGTTCAAGGCCCCAAACAGGCCCTGAGTGTTTAAAGAAAAAAGACAAAACTAACAAACAACCCCCTCCCACACAAACCAAGTTCAGTGGTATTCTGGGTACATTTACGTTAGCCCAGTTTGTTCTTTACGGACTGAATGGAGGTCTCAATGTGTCTTCAAATATCTTATTTTGTTTTTGAATAAAAGTTTTCATCCCTCCCCATCCCCATCCCGGAAATACCACATTTACTATGGCATTAATAGTGCTGTCACCTGGGACCACCCTTGGAAGAGGCCTATCACAACCACATGGGCGCCCACAAAAAGTTAATTCTGCTCTGAACAGTATCTGGGTGTTACCTGGCACACGTATTTCCCCACCATCACAGCAAAAGGCTGAAGTTTAAATAAGCACTTGTCTGCGGAAGCGATTAATAGTTCTCTTCTAAGGACTTATCAGTAAACATGAATAGTACTGCTTCAGGTATGCTGAGTTACCACTAAGCGACCACTATCACAGATACTGTGATACAAAGTGCTGCGCTGGGATGGCGATTTACACTTCGCCTTCCCTGGGAGAAATGAGCCAGCGGCACAGACTCAGTTTGCTATGAGCGATATCCCAATAGTGGTGGCACTTGGGGGGATACCACAACCGGGCTATTTGACGCAGTCAGGGAGGAGCCTAGCAGAGCCCCTACTAAGTGAGTTACCCTTAGGGTGACCAGATGGTCCGATTTTATAAAGGACAGTCCTGATATTTGGGGCTTTTTCTTATATAGGCTCCTATTACACCCCCGACCCCGTCCCGATTTTTCACACCTGCTGTCTGGTCAGCCTAGCTCCCCGAGCTGCCGGCTGGGGAAATCTCTCCCTCTCACGCGCACCGCGCCTCTGCCCCAGGGCGGCCGCTGGAGCCTGGTTTTTCGCTACCACGAAGCGACCCAGGCGAGCTGGGCACAACCGGGCTGAACCAGAGTCCAGGGCGCAGCGCTCCACAGCCCCTGGCCCAGCCTCTGGCTGGGGCGCCGGCGGCAATGCCCGGCAGGACAGTATCACCGTGCGGGCGGGTCGGGGGTCCCCACCTGCCAGCGGCCGCAGGGTCAGACGGGCCCGGGAGCCGGTAAAGACCGGTGCGCGCGGCCTACCTGCTCTCGTCATCCCCTCCTGAGCTGAGCAGAGGCTCCTGCCCCTCGGCAGCAGCGGGGACCGCGGCCATGTCTGGTGCCCAACACAAGCTCCACCCCTGCCGCCGGCACCGGGCAGGCGGGGAGGAGGAGCCTCCTGCCCCTCTCCCCGGTAGTGCCCTCGCTACCGCCCCTCCCCGCCCGTGACGCCAGCTGTTGTTGTTCTTCCCGCCGACACCGGCGGCGTCGCTGAGGAGCCGCTATCCCGAGCCGCCCTCACGCGCTTCCTTTCCGTTAGCGCCGGCCGGCGGGCTGCAGTCACGTGGGTGGTAGGATGCTCGAGGAAGGGGGGGGCTGCTAGTCACGTGTGACCTTTGATGCTCGCAGCTACTCTCCTCCCTAGTCCGCTACTCGTCTGCGCTCCGGAAGGGGCCGGCTGCGGGGTAGCACCGCCCCGGTAGCGACCTTCAGCCCTTCCCCGCCCCACGCCATCGAGACTGGCTGGCCCTTCCCCCATGTGCGGCCGCAGGGGGCGCGGGAAGCCGCCTGCCCGGCTCAGTGAGTGACCCCGGGAAAGTGTCGGGCGGTGGGAGTCTCCGGCCGCAGGCGGGGACGTGCTGCCCGACGCGCCTCCATGCGGGGCGTGGGTGGGGACGGCGTCGCTCTCGTTTGCTGCTGGGGACGCGCGACTCGAAGGAGAAGGGCCCTGTCCGCCTGCGGTCAGTAACTCGGCGCCTCCAGCCTCAGGGGTGCGGGAAGCCGGGCTCGCCCTGCCATCCTCTCCCTGTGGGTGCCCGGCCCGCCGCCCTTCCTGCTCCCTTGGCGGGAGAGCGCTTGCCCTGCCCTGGCCAGCTGGTGCCCAGCGTGTGCGCTTCTCTCCGGGTCTGCGTAGCAGTAGGTGCCCAGTGGTGCTGAAACAATCTTATCGCGGGGTGCTGAAAGCGAAAACTGTGTATCCCTAGTTCCAGCACCTGGCTGTGGCCGTGCCCCCACCCCGACGCGGTCGTGACTGCTGTTTGAAGGCACGTCCCTATGTGTCCGTTTAAATCGATTTTGTCACCGCTCGCTCACCTGCCCCGCTCCAGAAAACCTCTGCGAAACTAATCCAGTCTTATCACAGCTTTGGCTTCATTCTTCTCCAACCTACAGTGGAAGGTAATAGCTTGGAAAAGAGACGATTAGGGGGGATATGATAGAGGTCTATAAAATCATGAGTGGTGTAGAGAAAGTAAATAAGGAAGTGTTATTTACTCCTCCCCATAATACAAGAACAAGGGGCCACCAAATGAAATTAATAGGTAGCAGGTTTAAAACAAACACAAGAAAGTATTTTTTCACTCAACGCACTGTCAACCTCTGAAACTCCTTGCCAGAGGGTGTTGTGAAGGCCAATACTATAACGGGGTTCAAAAGAAAGCTAGATAAATTCTTGGAAGATAGGTCCATCAATGGCGTCCCTAGCCTCTGATTGCCAGAGACTGGGATTGGATGACAGGGCATGGATCACTTGATGACAACCTGTCTGTTCATTCCCTTTGGGGCACCTACCATTGGCCACTGTCAGAGGACAGAAAGAAAAGGAATACTTGTGACCTAGAGACTAACCAATTTATTTGAGCATGAGCTGTGAGCTACAGCTCACTTCATCAGATGTTTACCGTGGAAACTGAGAGACATCAGATGTTTCCACGTAAACATCTGATGAAGTGAGCTGTAGCTCACGGAAGCTCTGCTCAAATAAATTGGTTATTATTCCTTCTTTGTGAAACAGCTAACAGCTGTTCTCTGAAACCTGTCAGAGGACAGGATACTGGGCTTGTTGGACCTAACATTCTCATAGTTTAGTAGTGTCTTTTTTTAAAAAAAAAACAAAAAAACGTGGCCTACATTTCACCATCCCTAGAACAGTTTACAACTTTTGATTGAATGAAATTCAGAATATTAGGACACTTAGTTACTGTAAATTTTACTAGAATTTTGTGTTCCTCTCCCCTAAGTATCATCAATCTTATGTCATAGTGTAAATGGTTAGTTTTAAAAATAAAACTGGCAGTAACTAACCACAGTAGACCATCCATTGGTCATTTCTCCCCTCTTATTCAATTTTATAGTTAGTATCCTGGCACTAAATTGATAGATTTTAAGGCCAGAGGGGGGCCACTATGATCATAAAGTAGACTTCTAAACAGCCCACTTCTTATGGCGATGTGTAGCGTACATATACGCCTGGTCCCCCAAGCATAGGTATAAATAGCAATGTAGACAGACATTGCTTAGACCAGTGGCTCTCAGCCTTTCCAGACTACTGTACCTCTCTCAGGAGTCTGATTTGTCTTGCTTACCCCAAGTTTCACCTCACTTAAAAGCTATCTGCTTACAAAATCAGGAATAAAATATAAAAGTGTCACAGCATCCTGTTATTGAAAAATTGCTTACTTTCTCATTTTTACCATATAATGATAAAATAAATCAATTGGAATATAAATATTATACTTACATTTCAGTGTATAGTATATAGAGCAGTATAAACAAGTGATTGTATGGAATTTTAGTTTGTAGTGATTTCACTAGTGTAGGGTTTCTCAAACTTCATTGCACCGTGACCCCCTTCTGACAACAAAAATTATTGCATGACCCCAGGAAGGGGGACTGAAACCTCAGCCCCACCACCCTGGGCTGCGGGACTGAAGCCTGACCCCACCACTCTGCAGGGAAGGGGACAAAGCTTGAGGGCTTCAGCCCTGGGCAGGGGGACTGTAACCTAAGCCCCGCCAAAGTGGAAACCTGAGCCCCACCTCCCAGGGCTGAATCCCTCTGGCTTCAGCTTCCATCCTGGGTGGTGGGGCTCAGACTTTGGCTTCAGCCCCAAGCCCTAGCAAGTCTAATGCCAGCCCAGGCAACCCCATTAAAACGGGGTTATGAACCACTTTGGTGTCCTGACCCACAGTTTGAGAATTGCTGCACTAGTGCATTTTACATAGCCTGTTGTAAAACTAGGCAAATATCTAGATAAGTTGATGTACCCCCTGAAAGACCTCTGCATACCCCCAGGGGTGTCCGTACCCCTGGTTGAGAACCGCTGGGTTAGGCTAGTAAAGACCTGTCTGAAGCCTGTGGATATGTACCTTGGTATATACCCTGCATCAGTGTTTTTCAAACTTTTTTTCTGGGGACCCAGTTGAAGAAAATTGTTGATGCCCGCGATCCAATGGACCTGGGGATGAGGGGTTTGGGGCATGGGAGGGGCTCAGGGCTGGGGCAGAAGGCTGGAGTGTGGGTGTGAGGGCTGCGGGGTGGGGCCGGTAATGAGGGGCTCAGGGTGTGGGAGGGGGCTCTGGGCTGGGGCAGAGGGTTGGGGTGCAGGAGGGAATCTGGGCTGGCAGTGCAGGCTCTGGGGTGGGGCCGGGGATGAGGGGTTTGGGGTGCAAGAAGGGGTTCTGGGTTGGGGGGGGTCAGGGCATGGGATTGGGGCATGCCTACATTGAGTATAGAGTATATTGAGATAAAGAGAGCTTCTTAAGTATTTCAGTGTAAGTCATGTTTTCCAGACTCTGAATCATTCTTGTAGCCCTTTTCTGAACCCTTTCCAATGGGCTGGCGGCGGAGAGGGACTGTTACTCCTAGTTTCAGTCCTCTTTATTTCAAATGGTCCTGAGCTGCTGGGCAGTCCTAATGTGAACCAATGCAGTTAATTGAATACAAGGAATAGTCTCATCCTGTGTCCTAGCATCCTTTTAACATGCTCCAGTTGTCCAGCAGTGTGTTTTGGGGTTGATGTAATATCAGTTTATTTTCTTAAAATCACTTGTACTTCTGATCTAATATCCGTTATCCTGGCCAACCTCAGATCTGTTCAAAGTACATCTCATTTACTGATTGCTAATAGATAAACTGAACCAAAAGCCCTTCTGTTGAGTGAGCTTCTAATTGGTGATACGTAACTAGAGGGATATGACTCCATTTTTGGAAACTTTTTTTTTTTTTTCCAACTTGATGATTGAAATCCATATTGCTATGTGGCCCCTTAACAGAAATGGAGTAACAGCTTGTGTAGCGATCAGATTTTTTTTTAATAATTTGACTGGAAGACTAGCAGAATTAACAGGCAGTAATGCTTAGCGTAGTTAAGAAATCAGGTGAATAAAATGTAATAAACAGGGTAAAAAAACACATTAGCAAAGGAGGAAAGACAATTGAGATCAATAAAATATTTACTAGTAAGAGAGTCATTATAGATCAGCACTGAGCAGCAGCCAAGAACAGTAGCTAGAACCAAGCAGCAATTTTCAAGGTTTCTTGGTAATTAAGGAAGCAAAATTTGTTTTGCAAGGGATGTTTGGTTTTGGGGTGGCTCTAACCTTGGCAATGGTGCCTTTTCCCTTCATTTTATATGGATTATTGCCCTAGTTGCAGCAGAGTTATATCTCTCCTTTCTGAAAAAGAAAGGTTCTGAAAGCAGTTTTACTGGTTTACCCAAGTGTTTATGATCTTGGCATGTTGCAAGATATCTATCTTTAAAATCATGTTCTGATGGTCCTCACATACACGTTTCAATACTAACGTGACTGATGTCATGTCTCAGATTATTTTATATGACTGAAGCTGTTCATTAATCTAATTTTAAAAGATTAGAAGGTATTGAAGGAAGGACAGTGGGATAAATGAAGCAAGATGGGGATCAGAATAACGGACTTTAAAATTCGCTGCTTGAGACTGGCAGGGCTAGGAATTAAGACTTCATACTACTAGAAAGCAAAATGTCCTGACTTTTCAGTGGTTATAAAGCACTTATTTCTGTCCCTTAAATTTTATGTCAGAATTTAGGACCATTACTGCTTCTTTGGAGTAGCAGTATTTTGGGGAGTCAGGGAGGGGTTATGTTACACAGATTCAGTTTGAGTATAGGTTTCAGAGTAACAGCCGTGTTAATCTGTATTCGCAAAAAGAAAAGGAGTACTTGTGGCACCTTAGAGACTAACCAATTTATTTGAGCATAAGCTTTCGTGAGCTACAGCTCACTGTAGCTCACGAAAGCTTATGCTCAAATAAATTGGTTAGTCTCTAAGGTGCCACAAGTACTCCTTTTCAGTTTGAATATAGGTTTCAGAGGGGTAGCTGTGTTAGTCTGTATCAGAAAAACAGCGAGGAGTTCTTGTGGCACCTAAGAGACTAACAAATTTATTTGGGCATAAGCTTTCGTGGGCTATAACCCACTTCACCAGATGGAGTGAAAAATACAGTAAGCAGGTATAAATATACAGCACATAAAAATATGGGAGTTGCCTTACTAAGTGGGGGGTCAGTGCTAATGAGGCCAATTCAATTAGGGTGGATGTCGCCCATTCCAAACAGTTGACAAGAAAGTATTAGTATCAGAGGGAAAATTATTTTTTGTAGTGACCCAGCCACTCCCAGTCTTTATTCAGGCATAATTTGATGGTGTCAAGTTTGCAAATTAATTCCAGTTTTGTAGTTTCTCGTTGAAGTCTGTTTTTGAAGTTTGAAGTGTCTGCTTACAAAAATAGACATTTATTCTATATATTAGTTTTTATTTTGTTTACAAATGACTGAGATCCTTCAATAGTTGGCCTTATAGACATGCGAAGTACTGCATTATTAGGGTGTGAATACTGATCATTTTTTTATATTTAAAAAAGCTTGCAATTGGAGTGTGGTATGGGCTCAAGTTAACAGCACTTCAGATACAAAACTAGATGAATAAAAATTACAATTGCATAAATTAACTTCCATTGTCAGTAGGGTTGTAAGCAAGGTTCCTTAGATCATTCAGTGGATAGTGATTTGGAAATATGCTGATTATCCCATTTATCAGTACATGTTTCATACAACAAATGGTGTTTTGTTATACATTTAATTTTTTAGTTGATACAAAATCATCTGTTTTCTTAGGTGTAGAAAAATCCTGAAACTTTAATTGGAAGATCATATGCTCTGTGATGCACACAACCAATAGCTTAACTTTTTTGCCTGGTGTATCAAGAGCACAGAAGTGGCTTCGCATTATTTTAGTAAGTGTAGGTTTTTAACTAAAATTTTTGTCAGTAAATACTATTTACTGATCAAACTTCAACATAAGTAAGAAGCATCCTTCACTGAAAGGAATGCTGTCAAGGATTTTGATAGTATGATTTTCCAGTCACACCCCTTAACCAAGGGTGGCAAAAGTCCTTATGTAGAGGCAGTTATACCTTCAAATAAGTCCTTTTACCATTATAACTTTTGTTTGGGGAACCGGTATAAACTATACCGACAAAATAAATGTTGCTGGTATAAGCTGCGTCTCCATTAGGTGGATTTGCTGGTATAGCTCTATCAGCAAACCCTTTCCAGTGTAGCTGAAGCCTCAGTTACTGTCTCAGAGCTGCTAACTCTCAATTCATTGCAGCACTTCTCTGAAGAATGCTAATTTTGCAATATTATTTTCTTAGCCATCTCAGAGGCCTGTGGGAGGAATCACTCTGATGAATCTTTGAGGTACAATCACTTCAGGCTTGCAAGAACAAACAAGTTGTAAACAGAATAGTTAAATGGGGAATTAAGAATAAAATTAATTTCAGCCAGTATATTCTTCCAAAACTCAGTAAGGACAAGGCACTTCTGCAGCAGTGTTCCTGTACCCCACATTTCTAGCAAGTATCCATATGCTTAGCATCAGTCTCATGCATTTTCATAGGGATCTGTTGTAATCTGAATGAAAGCTTTCTTTTTATATATTGTTGAAGGAAATGGACTTTCCTTTCTGAGTTATAGTACTGATCACAAAGTTAAAGCCAAGCAAATTTAATGATACATATTGGGACCATATAATTGCCTGCTGAATAGCAGCCTCTCACTTCAGTACCTCAGTAATATGTCTGTGTCTTGACTTCAAAGAGAATTGCAATTTAAAGTGCATTACAAATTTTCTAGAATTTGTATGCACTGAGAAATGTAGGGAGAAGTGGTAACAAAGCTCTGCTAATCATGGGATTAGTTTTTTAAGTAATAGGATGCGCATAGTGCAAAGGTGACAAAAAGTAGTATGTCTGTTCTATAAAAGAGCTTTCCATGAAAAACTGGATTAATGATAATGAGGTCTTCACAGATCTGAAAAGCATTTTTTCCACTCAGATTAGTTCATGTAAAATGGCCTACTCTCAGCATGATAAATAGATGTTATTCCACAGAGCATATATGTTTCTCTTACATCTGCAAGTAAATCAAACTCCCCACATTTTTTCAAGCTCTCTTAATCTACAAGGATTCCATTCCTAAAACTTGGCAGCATTATTGTGATCTGGGAATTTCTAACACCACTGAGTAACCTGCTTTGTGTCCCTCAAAGTTTACCCCTTTGTAGAACAAAATAATCTAATTACAATTAAGATGCATTCCTTCCAGATTATTTTCATGATACTATTGTGTACTGATATAAAAACATAACACTTGTTTGTGGATAAAATAAGCACTTATCACTCTGGTAACTTTGGATAATTAGTTTTCCTTTGAATATGGAAGTAACTGATTACATTTCCTTACAGGTTTGTTTTTGGTCAGAAATTTAACTGTATTTGAAATTATAATTAAAATGTTTCATGTCTATTCATAAATTGAGACTAGAACAGATGAAAGAGGTTGAAATGTAGCTGATGGAACATGAATCTGAATTTCTTCTAGCATCTAAAATTGAAGGACCATATCTATGTTTCAAATCCAATTTTACAGAATAGGCTGCATCACAGTTTGTTACATCAAAATGATAGTTTTACTTCTGCAGTTTTTCTCTGGAAGATGAGAGTGGAATTCAGGGACTGAATGGGAGTAGAAAGGTTTTCTTCTAAGTTGTGCCTACCTGAGCCCTCAAAATTAAGCACTACAGATTATGCAGGTGTTCAAAATATGATCAGTTGGACTCTGGGCTTTGCTCCCTTTCACTTGGGTTTGACTTTCCCTCAGAGGGGCTGTGGTGCCTTGTTGAGCTTCTTTGCTGTGTCTGCTTCTTGGCTGAGAAGAAAAAATAAATATTCTTCCAAACCACCTACTTAAGGCCTTATTTTCTCCTTTTAGATGTTAGCTTGCTACTAATGGGTGTGAGTAAACTGGATATTTTGTACAGACGGCTTCTCCTCACTAAACTTTTCATCCAAGGATGGGGAAGACCAGAAGATCTGAAAAGGTAATTATTTTCCCTCACAGAAAAAAAAAATCACAGAATATTTCATACTGTTAATCTAAGTAAATTTAGTTTAAAGACTATGAACAGATAAATGTTTTTTACTAAAAATACAATGTTTTATTTTCAATTTTCTAAAAAAAAGTAAAACAAAACATTATAGGATTAATTAGACTTCAGAAATTAACTAAATATTTTAATTTTTAAATTAATGCATTTATAGACTAAACTATTTTATGGTAAGAAAAAAATACATGTTGCTGTTAAAAAGTCTGTTTAAAAACAAAGAATCCAATTAATGGAAACTTAAACATGGTGGTGTAGGATAACATATTTTAAAAGATCTTGAATTTATATAAAGCTAGCTAGATAGGTTGTGTTGTCCAAGGACAAAGCTTGTGAAACACCATGGAAGGAGGCATCTCCTCTAAAATTAAAAAAGAAGTAACTAGGTTTCTCTTTTACTTAAAGGTTTATAAAGAAGTTAGTTTGCCAAATATAAACTTTAAAACATACAATGTAGGATAGGTATATGCCTTGCTTTCTCCATTTGGTTTCTCTTTGAAAAACTATGGCTACGTTTTGCACATCCATTTTTAATGAGTTATATAGAGAGAAAAATCTCTTTTTAGAGTTGATTAAGAACAAGAAAGAGCTTTTGGTCTGCAGGTTTTGATTTCATGCTTGTTTAAGGTTTATATGTTAGCATGATATATTCCCAAAAATTTAATGTAAAATAGTTTAATACGATGTTAATTCCCCTTGAAGAATCTTTGAGTGGATTGATTTTAAAAGGCTTTTGCTTTTATACGAGCAACGTACTGTGGGTTTCTTAAAATTTAAATATTGAATAATTGAGTGTATAAAATGAATAATATATCATATTAGGCTAAAATGGAAATTACAGATCTAAATTTCTGAGAAATTGACTTTGTCCAAACATAAACACTACAAGCAAAGGAATACATTGAGCAAGAAACTGTTGTTGGGAAAGTTTTGTCTGGAGCAGTTGGTGGAGATCTGTAAATGTACATTGGGACTACCAGAGAGATATAGTAGTAACCTTACAACACATCTTTAAATGGGAATTAGATAGCTTAGCCTCTTTTCCCAACCGTTTGTCTGTTTAGAGTTGTCCAAATTCAAACAAAAACTAAATTTCAAAATTTACTGCAAAACAAAATTTTTGAAAACATCACTCACCTGATGCAGAGAGTGAGCAAGAGGACTTCCACGAGACAAAAGCACAACATGTCCGGACAGTGATTTTTGTCCTTCAGTGAACCGTTATAGCTTCAAACCAGCCTGATGACTGCTGGATCTTCCAAGAACTTCTTGGGAGGATAGCTGACATCTTGGAAATCCCAGTCAAGATAGGGCAAGAGAAGTCATACAAACTTCTCCGTGTTCTGCACATGTTCTGGTCCCCAGTAGATTGGTAGTGCCAATAAATAACAGCTTAATGCACAGGCACCAGCTTCCTCCAGACCCTGGGGATTCTCTCCCCCTGTTCCACCACAGGCCCTGCCCCCACCCGACCTCTTCTCCCAAGCTCCCACCCGTGCCCTGCCTCTACCTGTCCCTGCTCCACCCCCACGGAACAGCTGATTGTAGTGGGTGGGAGGTGCTGGGAGGGAGCAGGAGGAGTTGATTGGTGGGGCTGCTGGTGGACGGTAGGCACTGCGGGGGTGGGAGGGAGAATCTGGCTGCTGGTGGGTGCTAAACACCCACTAATTTTTTTTCCCCATGGGTGCTCCAGCCCTGGAACACCCATGGAGTCAATACCCCTGGCTTGCCTTAATGGAACCAGTTAGAGACCTTTGGACTCCTTCCTCGGTGATACCTATATCTAAGAAAATGGACAGGCATTATCAGATCACCTCCAAAGGCTTTGAATAGTTCTTTAGCCATCTAACATTCGACTCTTTGATCATAGTCACTGTCCAAGAGAAGTCCAAACGACAGGGTCCACAGAAAGCAACTCCCAGGGTTAAAGATCCTAAAATGTTGGTGGACCTCTTTGATTGGAATTTGTATTCTTCAGCCATCCTATAAGCATTCATTTTAACTACCAAGCACTCCTGGCCAAATGCAGCTTTCTGAACTGGGATCATGCATCCCAATTCACCAACAAACTCCAACAGGAACACAACAAGGAATTTAAACCCCAGGTGCAGGAGGGACAGCTGGTTGCATGGACCTCAATACAGGTTGCTCACAACACCTCACCTACAGTGGCTAGCATAATAGCAATTTATTGGGCCTCTTAATGCAGTCCTTGAGAATACTGAAGGAGGCTCAAGCAACCATAGAGTGCTTCCCCTTTGAAGATTCTGACTTTTTTTAGTAATACAGATGAGGCTATTTGCATGTTGAAGGACACCAAAGACAATTTTTTGCTATCTGGGTGTATGCATCTTTGCTCCACGAAGGAGATGGTACAAGCCTCGGCCCTGTCTGAGGCAGACACAACCATCTGAGTACTATTACAGACAGCAGAGACTGTTTGAGCCACTGAAGAAGAGGCAGAAGTTCCAGATGAAGAGATCTTCTGCCCCTTCCTCCTCTGACGCACACCTTCCATCTACCTTGCAATAGGAGGTTTGAATGTGCAGTTGAGAGCCTTGTAGAGCCAGCAGATCCAGCTCTTTCTCTCCTTTTGAGAGCTGTTTGTTTTGGGAGGTATGGAACCAAATTACCTGGGACCAAAGTGTTCTGGAGTCCTTTGGACAAGGATTCTCTATCCAGTTTCAGTCCCCTGCAAACCTTCCCCACCTCATCCCCAATCCCTTCTGGGACCCCTCTCATGAGATATTGTAGCAGGGAGTCCACTTCCTTCCTGAGCAGTTCAGAGCAGTAAAAGAATGCCGTTGGAATTCCAGAGCAGGATGGGTTACTTTGATCATAAGCAGAGAGAGGAATGGCACCCCGTCCTGAAACTCTGACTCAAATTCATCCATGGGTTCAAGTTCAGGATGGTGATGCTGAGGTCCATAATCACCACCTAGGATCCTCAAGATCGGTTTGCAACTCTACTTACAAGACGCACACTTTCATATTGCAATTCACCTGGCCATAAAGAAATATTTCAGCTTACTTGTGGGAAAGTCTTACTACTAATGCAGAGTGCTTCCCTGTGGCACCTCTCTCTCGCTCACCCTCTTGAGGGTCTTCCCAAGTGCATGGAAGTCATGGTTTCTCATCTGAGAAGGAAAGACATTTTAGTCTATTCTTACCTCAATGACTGGCTGATTTGAGCTGGTCACCTCAACACCTGAACGACACTCTTGGAGTAGTTCTGAATCTCTTTGCTGCATCAGACCTCAGTCAATGGAATGAAGTCGCCCTTACATCTTGTTAGAGCATAAAATTCATAAGGGTAGTATGGGCTCCTGTCTGCCAGAGAACAGGTTTCTCACCATTCTAAGCCTTGTCAACACCTTCATTCACACCCTTAACATTAATCAGAACATGCCTAAGACTCATGGGTCACATGGCCTCCTGCTCCCACATGACACATTTACCACCTGTACTCTATGCAAGAGTGGTTGAGATCAATGTATTTACTCAGCAGGTACCTAAGACATGTTGGTCACAATCCCCCAGGATCCTTTCCTTGTTAGATTGGTCGAAGGACATCTACATGTCTACAACAGATTGCCCATCTCCCTCACCGATCCCCAGCATGACATTGGTGACAGACAAATGTACATTGGGGAACTCAGCTGAACCACCTTGTGATGCTCTGTACCTCGGGTGTACACCCTACACCAGTGGTTCTCAAAGCCGGTTCGCCGCTTGTTCAGGGAAAGCCCCTGGCGCTCCGGACCGGTTTGTTTACCTGTCGTGTCCGCAGGTTTGGCCTCTCCAGGCCAAAGGGGGCTGCGGGAAGGGCAGCCAGCACGTTGGCCTGGAGCGGTGAACCGCGGCCAGTGGGAGCCACGATCGGCTGAACCTGTGGACGCGGCAGGTAAACAAACCGGTCCGGCACACCAGGGGCTTTCCCTGAACAAGTGGCGGACCGGCTTTGAGAATCACTGCACTACACCTCCATGTTCATCTTTATAAAATGATTGGGTGGTATCCAATGCAAAGTTTGTCATGTTGAGTGTCTTCGGAAGGCTCATAATGCACTGAGCATGTAACAATTATAGTAATTGTTACAGTAATTTTATAGTAAGCTTATAGGTGAGGCTGAAAATGTATCCTCATGGCTTAAAGCAAGCCCATGCAAAAACTCTCCAGGAACAGAGAGGCAGTTCATGCCTTATCAGGGCATGGATGGAACAAACCCCAGCCCAGCCTCACAGGAACAATGGACACTGGTTTAGGCAGCAACAAAAGAATCTATTAGGCCTTTGAGGGAGTCACCCCTTTCCTTTGGTCAGTTTGGGATTGCGATGAGGTAACGCTCACTTGACTGGGGGGGAAAGCCAAGAGGAAAGGAAGGACATGATAAAAGGGAGACACATTTTGCCATGCTCTCTCTGTCCTACCTACATCTACAGACACCACCACCACCAAGCGACTGAATCGCTGATCAAAGGGGAGAGCCTGACTGAAAAGTAACCAGCCAGCCTGTGGTGAGAAGCATCTAAGGGCATGGCTACACTTGCAGATGTAGAGCGCTTTTAGTTAAACCCGCCTTCGGAGAGTGCAGTAGGGAAAGCGCTGCAGTCTGTCCTCACTGAAAGCTGCAAGCACACTGGCGTGGCCATATTTGCAGCACTTGCAGCGGCATTGGGAGTGGTGCATTATGGGCAGCTATCCCACAGAGCACCTCTTCCCATTCTGGCACTGTGGCTTGTGGGAAGGGGGTGGGGGGCATTCTGCGTCCTGTCCCAACACCCTGTGATGCATCGGTGCGCATCCCAGCAATTTCTGTGTTTCCATCCACATTTGGCACCATCTTTCAATGTTTTTTGTATTGCGCGCTCTGTCTTCCCTTTCAGTCTGCGGGAATGGAGCCTGAACTGCTGAGGAGTATGCTGACGAGTCTCGCT